GTGTTTTCCCATCAAAAAGTGATTCCAGAAATGTATATATATATATATATATATCTATATGGCATTTAGATCCCTAGGCCGCATTGTTGGGAAACATCCTTGCCAAAAGTGCACTAACCAGCACCCTGCTACTCACACCCTCCCCAGCGCAAGGGGGACGGAGGATTTTGTTAACAATATTGACTTCTGAGAGATGTTGACCTATTTTTGGGGAAGTATGTATATGTATATATGGTTAAATATATATATATATGCATATATATATATATGTATGTGTGTTCAACCAATATGAATTCCCTGACCAAACAATATCACGCAGTGGCACAATTGACCCTAATATTTGGTTCTTGGCATGTTTCTGCATAGCTAAGATGGTGGACCCAAAACATCGATTGGGGGAAATGTTCTTCCAACCAACTTTTCTATCTTCTATATCGACCGTGTTTTCCCATCAAAAAGTGATTCCAGGATCAAAATTCACACATGGGGGGTTCTAGCCCAATCTTTTGGGTTTGTGATGTTTCGATCTTATATATATATATATTTATATTTATATTTATATTTACATATATATATATATATACACATACATACATATTATCAAAATTTGACCCATGCCCAGTTGTAGATGAGCACCTCAACTCATTTTTCTCGGCATTTGGGCATGTCATATGCGCACAGCAATTTCACAGTCTGCATTTGATGCAGGGTAAAGCTTGGAAACGAACCACCTTGCTCACATCATTTCTTCTTATTAAGTTTCCTCAAGCAGTTCTAGCAGACTGGATAAGTGTTGACATCAGATCCTCCGAGGCATGTCTTGAATAGATGCACCTGCGTGTGTAGGGCAGGCCCCAACAGAAAAGATGAATGTAGTCGGAAAAATATGTGTTGGACACAGTAGCTGATTAATCCCATCCCCCTTGTATTCACTACCGCCGGTATGACGTAGTATGGGCCCCAAAATCAATAGATGTATATATACATGTATGTTTGTATAAAATTGAACCAAGGGCTTCAGGTGGGTATTCAATATTGCAGGGATGGAATTATTCTTCACTGGTCCCCAATGGTTTCATATCTTTTGGAAAACACTTGACCGTAGTGTTCACGCGTTGAAGTGGGAATGCCCTTTCAGTCTTTTTGGCTTCTATTTGCATTGCTTGAGCATATATGATATATAAAAAGGTAAAAAAGCCCTTGGCAAGGAATGGCACAAAGACTTTTTTTCCCCTTGATATGACTTTTCTATCTTCTGTAGGACCACCACATTTACGTACAAAACCAAAATGCAGGATCAAAACTTGCCTTGTGAGCTGTTGTTAGCTGGTATACGAATTGGATGTTGTCGCTCGGAATCTCACTTGCCCCCATAGCTCTTGCCACTGGAGTGGATGTCATAGTAGCAGTTGATGGGGTTGAAGTAGTAGAGGCTCCCGCTGGTGTGTGTTGATAAAAGGTTTCGAGGCTCATCTTGATGATTACCATGAAGGCATGAAAAGCGTCACGCACGACACAGATCACTATGTAGAACATCATCAAATAGTCCATCCATGAAAACCCCACCATAGCTACCGCAAGAAAATCAACAAATTTCACGGGCGCCAAACTTCGAGCCTCTAGAAACACCTGCGGCATATGTGTGAATTTGCATGGATGTGCATATGTATGTGCAATTATGTGCATATATATATATACATATATTTATTTATTTATGGGTATATTCACTGTATGCATGCATGAATACATGTATATTCATATATCTACCAACTGTGCACAATCAGTATAATAAATGTAGAAACACATATGTATGTATATAAATGTGCGTGCCTACGCTCCAGGCTTTTCCCTGCCACCCTCCACAATAAAACCCAGGTGCGGTTCGTGACTTTGATGACATTCTCATAAAAACTCAGCTTTGCCTCTGTTGTTTCGATCATATCTCTGTAGCCTGCCTGGTAAGTCACTCCTGAAGCCCCTGTGCCATCGGTATAGCAATTGGCATACTCTGCGCTTGAGACATTTTCCCCACTTACACTTGTGCATGCTGGCCCACTGATGAGAAGATCTACCTTTGGAAGTGGGCATTGTTTCCCATGGATGTCACAAAAACCCTTGCCTTTGACCAACTCTGAAACATCACCAAAGATGTGATCCAACTTGCCAAAGTGGGCACGCTGGATAAATGCGCGCTTCTCCTACAGGGGGTTCGAGCAATTTGGTAATCCAAACAATCAGAGAGGGTTTCCAAAAATTACACGTGTATTTATATATTGCATATAGAGAGAGAGAGGGAGAGAAGGAGAGATCTAAACAGATGCTCGTGCAAATTGTCGTTACTGCAAATTGTCGTAAATAGCGACCCCATACAGAAGATAGAAAAGTAAAGGCTGCTTCAATTGGTAGACTTGGAAGTGGATTTGTTCGGTTGCAGCTGCACAAAATGAACACAAATCTATCTATCATTCGATCTTTACACCCATTTAGCCCAAAACAACTTTTCTATCTTCTATATCACTTGAAAAAACAGGGTAAAATAGACACGGTGGTCATCCCAAAGATGGACAGGTCATACGAACAAAAGAACATTATTTTTAGTGCAATATACATATGTTATAGATACGTATTGTACATGTACATACATGCATGCATGCATACATACATACATATATACATACATCCATACATCCATACATGCATGCATGCATACATCCATACATCCATACATCCATACATCCATACATCCATACATCCATACATCCATACATCCATCCATCCATCCATCCATCATACATACATACCTACATACATGCGTGTATATATATAGTATATATATACACACACACATACTACGAGGAGTGTTGAGGACACCAGCTTTTGATGTCGATACTGGGCCTTTCCCACCAAACCATTTTTAGAGGAACATAGTATATAATACCAGTCCTGAATCAATTCGGCAGCAAACACGGATCTCACTTTGACATTGGTATTGAATCTTTCATTGAGTGCAGCAAAGGTTTTCTCAACCACCATCCCGCCCGTTTCTAGCCCGCTGCAAGTAGTTCCAATGAGGACCTCCCTCCCGGCTCTGCTCAAGGCACCACAAATTTCTTTGAGGATATTGTATTCTGCTTGTGAAAGCATATCCACGAAATAGTGGGCTGTGGCTTTGAGGCTAAAACTCGGCTTCTCCCCCTTCAACTTCTGGAGGTCCTTCGGAATCCTTAATTCCCCAACAAGTTTCAGAAAGGGTGTTTTTCAGGCCTTGAAGACCATAAGTAGGACCAGGGTTGCTTGATTATAGCGAGTTGTATCTAGTTATCATATATGCAGTGTATATATATATATATACAAAACATAGTGGGGAGACCTATCAACCAACAGGATGGGATACATATGGATATTTTCCATAACTCGCATAGTTTAATAGTAGTTTCCCAAGAATTGTTGTTGGGGGGAGGATTCGAGGTCCAAATTTACAAACCCCAGCTGCATATGCATATATATATATAAATATTTAGATATACAACATTAACATGTATGGTCGAGAAAGTAGGAGTTCTGCTTTCTCAGTTGGAACTAGTCGACCCATTGCTCGATATGCGACATCTATGTACAATCCTGTGGGTATATGAATTGGGGGATTTAACCGGCAAAAAAGAAGAATATATAACCAGCCATGATGGGGATACAAGGGGATACATCATGGGGTATCGGCCTATAGCACCTATAAATAGCAGCCCCCCAAAAAGATAGAAAAGTTAGGAACCTGAAAAAATAGGTTGGAAACATGACCTGTACCATCCTGGAAACCCTTTTCTATCCTTTTGGGGGTTGGCATATACCATAATCAACAATGTATGAAATTGTGGTTGCCCATGACAATCGGACGTGCCCCTCAAATGGCAATGTTAATGGGGAATTCGGTAATAGACGCTTGGATTTCGCTGATATATATATATATATACATATATATATATATTTATTTATTTATATTTATTTATATTTATTTATATTTACACACATTTTTTAGACTTTAAACCCATGCATAATTTCTAAATATGTACGCATATATATATATATATATATTTGTAGATGTTTATTATTGTTGGGCCCAAAACGGGAAGATTGGCACATAACCGCCGAATCCCGCATTCAAAATCTAAGATTCTGTGCAACCGGCTGCACATCCGCAAAATCCACACATCGCACTTTGGGGGTCAGGTTCCTGTCCTTGGAAGAGGCACAAGCCCAGCAAGTGTGCTAGACACACAGTGTTCCTAACCCCTGGAGATTTGACCCTTATATATATATATATACATACATACACAAAAACCAATACCCACTCGGTATTTGATGCAAACCTTTTGTAAATATATATATATATATATGGGTTCCCATAAAAGATAGAAAAGTTACCCCAAAGACCTGCTAAGGGTTTTGAGCAACATGTTCTTGGAATTGTAGGCGTAAAACATCGTAAACATAAATGTGAAGCGAGAAACACATGAGATCCAGCGCAAACTTTCGGTGGCTTGCTGAGGGTTACGGAGTTCTATTGCATACACAGATTTGCCAGCTTTCAAACGGTTTGTGATCACATTGCGTTCGATTTCACTGGTATTGCAATCCTTGTAGCCATTCCAACGACGGAATGTGGTGTAGCTCTTGAACTCCATTTGCGCCCCAAATTCCACGCTCCCAAGAATCGCAAAATCCAATGCCTTGACGGCAAGATGCACCCGTCCAGTCTGGCCCACCCGCTGTGAGCGTAGTAAGAAGCGCTGATCCCCAACTAAGATGGATTGAGTCTCATCGATGCCGAGGGTAATCAGGAATAACTTCTCAGCTTGTTTTTTTCCATCTAGGTTGCCTAGATTGAAATTTTGCCAAAAGTCTTGGTTGACAGTCATGAAAGTTTGAGGACCACTGGCTGGCTTGAATGGTATTGGACGCTCAAAACAGACCGCGTTGTCAAGAACCCATGCGTAGAGGTCTTTCTGAAGGTAGGGCAGTTCAAACCTGGGCTGCCACGTGAATATATAAGTAGAATTCCCAAAACAAGCGCCAAACATATTCGATTGGTTTTTAGTATGTGTATGATATTCACATATATATATACATACACAGCATACATAAAAGCCAAACTCGAAACTTTTCTATCTTCTGTATCACCCTGTAAGTAGCCTAATAAATCTTTTGAATATGTGGATCTAAATACATACATATATGTACTATATGTATGGGGAGACTTTTCGTTTCCCAATGACTTGGTGGACTTGGGGCATCAGCTTTATGTTTTGTAAACTCACCTTGAAAATAGATTATTTTGGGGATTAGCAGTAGGAGAAACCGTGTTTTTTTTTTAAACTATGTTGCGTATATACTGTTTGCCAAAGTGGCTGAGATTCTGGCACACAATGATGTTTGTAAGTGTCCTTGCTCTTGGACTTGTCGAAGGGCTGGCAATTAATGATCTCGACGGTGCCAACAATCTGGTTGCTCCCTTTCTGCCACAGGCCGACCCGTTCTCCTTTGGCAGTCGGGGCATATCTATATATATATATAAATCTATATATATATATATAAATCTATATATATAAATCTATCTATATATATATATAGCCCCCAAATAGATAGAAAAGTAATACCACTTGCTTATTCATAACAGAACATAGTGGAATCCCAGGAAGATCGTTGAAAAATGATGAAACATGCACTCGTGAGTACAAAAAAATGTTTCGTTGCATACCTAGTGTCTCTTTGTTGTTGGAGTAGAGCGAAGCTCCCATGTTTTTTCCCCGGTGGCCACCAACCCACACCATGGATCTGCGATACAAAGGAGTGCTTTGATATCTTTCACACTGTCGAAGGTTGGAATGGTCCTGTCTGTGTTCATGGCTTTGCCAGGTTGTTCAGGGTCATTGTCTGGTTCACTGGTAGGCTCTTCATGTTCTCCTGTGGTATGGCTGGTGGGATTGCAATCTGCAGGTTCAGCAGGTTCTGCAGGTTCTGCAGGTTCATGCTTTTGTTCTGCAGGTTCACGCGCTTTGGGATCATCACTCCCTTCTCTACCATGATGTGTTCCAGTGGCGTCCTGGGTGGGCTTGCCAAAAAATGCAGCAGCTGCAGCCTCATTCCATTCAAAGTCTGCCTCAAGTGTTTCCTCTGAGCTCTTCCCCGCCCCACTTCCTTTTCCAAACAAATCGGTAGGAAAGCCGCTGGGATTGAGATTCTCCTCCTCACTTGTTTCCTTTGGGTGGGGCTTTGATGGCGAGGGTTCTGCCTCGTTAGAAGAACTTGAGTTTCTATGACGTATTTCAAACACCTTCTTGAGAGCAGACGTATCAAAAGCCCATCTGCGAAGATCTTCGGGCACCTCTCCTTGTGCTGGTTTCAGGGTAGGAGGTTTGGTCTCTGGTTCAGTAGGCTTGTATGCAAAGGCCTGGATGTCAGCATACTTGAAGGGTGCGGTGCCAGAATCATTGCCATTTTGACCCATCAACTTCTGAACCCTGGTAGCAAAGTGCTTCTCTTCTGTGCAATGTGGTAGAAATCCACCATCAGGAAAGGCAAGGCTTCCTGCCAAGGTTGATATGTAAGTGCAGTAGGGTGTGGACATATGGGTGGGAACCCCTGGTCTACTGCTTTCTGGAGCCCTTACTTGAAACTTTTCTATCTTCTGTATGGTCCTGCGCGTGTGCACTTTTGCGAGGGAATGCAACACAAAAACTGATGTATATATATATATATTATATTTCTATATATATATATATATAAAGGGAAAGATATGTGTATATGCATATGTATGTATTCATGCATGCATGCATGGATGGAGGTTGTATGTATGGATGTATGGATGTATGGATGTATGCATATATATATATATGGGTTCAAAACCCTTGTCTATCGCTTTCTGTGGCCCTTCTGCGGGGATTATGGCACTTTTCTATCTTCTGTATGGTCCCACACGTGGGGGAAACTTGGAATGTGTCCAACAAAAACATATGTGGATGCACGCACGATTTTGTTATCAAAAGGCCTGGATGGCCCTGGGTGTCTTCAATCAACACATCGTAGTGCCCACAGTCTTTGGTCAGGTACTTGAAGTGAAAGTGACCTGGAGCCAGGGGACCAATTGGTTACAAAGTGTTTCAAAACTTTGGGACAATTCATATTATATAGCTGCTATATACTTTGAACTACCCAGCACAGACGGAGAAAGAAAACCATTCAGAATTGTTTATATATGTATGGCACATATACATACATACATATATATATTCCCTCCGTGCGCCGGGTTTCCCCACCCAAAAAAAGGGTTCAAGTATTTCGAAACTAATGAGGCTCGGACCACAAAGCGGAGAACCTTCTTGCCCATAGAGTGCATCGCTAGGTCCCTGGTAGTGCTCGGTAACCTTCTCGTCCAGTGTGATGCGAAAACAGCACCCAAAGAAGACTCCGATCAGGTGCGCCATCTCTAAAGGCACTTGTTTGAAATCCTCCAGCGGTTTCAAAGGAAGGGTTGAAACCTTTAAACCTTTTTACATAGCAAGTTTCTATATCTGTATATATATATATAAGACAAATGCTGTGAGCTTGAAAAGATGCACGGAACTACTTTTCTATCTTCTATATCCCCATGGTAATTCACACGATGTTTGAATTGAAACCCAGTCCTTAACCTCTTTGCAAAACTTGGTCATCTCTTCTGAAGTTGAGATCGAAATCAGCTTGTCTGTAACTTCCTGAAGCAAGCGTTCCCCCATGTCCTCCTCTGTTTTCAAGCGATCTTTGGACTTTGCGTACCCAGCCTCTGATCGATCTATGGTCCACCATTTGTCCGGAGTAGAACACGCGATCCATGCATACCAAAAGCAACGTCCATCTGGTGGGATGGAGCAGATCTGCTTTTTGACCAGCGTAGGTGTCTCACTCTTCTTGTAGAGCTTTTGCGCGACAGCCGCCCTCACCTTAGATGTTTCCCCCATATAAAATAAACCATTTCCACAAAATGCACTTGTATTGTATAAATATATATATACCTATTAAATTTCTTATGCTACGGGAACAGACGATACTTTGAGTATATACATATATATATATAGATAGATAGATAGATAGATAGATAGATAGATAGTCCTCATTGAGTTGGTGCAATAAAAGGAGTGACTATGTGGGGGCTTCCACAAATAGGCCAAAATGGGATGGTTTATGATGGAAACTTAACTGAAATGGATGATTTGGGGCCCCTGTTTTAGGAAACCCTCATATATGCCCGTACAAAACCCGGTGTATGGAACTTTTCTATCTTCTATACAACACTGCAAATATCAGCTGAAACGGGTTCCGCATATTTCCGAATTTCCTCAAATCTTATCGGGAAATTCTACCCATACTTCGCCTAGCAAAAGTTTTCTATCTTCTGTATCCCACCGCAGGGAACAGGAAAATACGTGGACTGGATTTCCCAATGTGTCGAAACTACAGTCAGATTTGCAAAGCGAAACTGTATATATATATGCATTTATATATATACATATATATATATATACATATATCCATTATAGGTTATAGATATTTATATACACGCGTTAGCTGTTACACGCTTTACAACTCCAATATAGAACGCTTCGAGCCAAGTTACTGCTTCTTTTGCTCTTGCAGCCATTGTCTCCGTTGAAGCTTGACATCCAGTACCAAGAACCTGGTAAATCTCTCCGACAGCGCGTCGAACCTGGCATTCCATGTCACTTTCTTCAAACTTGTTCGTCTTGGTGTCAAGTTGAAAAGTCTTGTAGTAAACCTTGTGCTTGTCTTTCACTACGTGGAGTAGGAGCGCATCCTTCTCTGACTTGGCTAACTTGTGAAATTTCTGCACAGCATCATCAGGTGGTGTGGCGCTAGTACTTGATGAAATCACCCCAACCTTCACCAAACTAGATTCCTTCATGAACTCGTCCACTTGCTTTTCGGTGCACTTGTCTCCCGTCAAGATGCATGTCAGAGCTCGCCATCCAAGAGTTGAATGCCACATAGCAAGGACGTAACCCTCAACAGCATGCTCCGCGGCAATGAGCAAAATCTGATCCAGCGATTGCTTGTACACCCGGATTCTTGAAGGTGGTAGAGCTTCATTCTTCTTGGTGAAAATTTGATCGAAAAAGTCTTTCCCCTCTGTTTCCTTTCGGGCAAACTTCTTGCTGGTCTCACCTTCCATGCTGATGTTTTCCTTGAGGATCTTCTCAACTGCTGCTGCCGTTGCTTTCCTGGTTGCTTCAGCTTTTCGTAGAGTTGCCAAATTCCCAGCCAACCTGCCTTTTAGCATGAGACTGTGCATGGTATCGAACCAAAAGTCGGCATCCTCCTTGCACAGGAAAATCTTGCAAATGGACCCGTGAGCTTTTCCAAGATCGTAAGTTGCCATGAACTTGCCTGTCATTTTGTCCACAACCACACCATGCTTGACAGATGCTTGTCCAGCTGGGGTAGAATTGACTCCTGTGCTCTTTCGGTAAGCCTCCCTCAGTCTCGCCTCAAGCTTGCCGCTCTTGCGCGTGTAGAAGGCCTCCAGGGAAATTGGAACATGTAATCCTTTTATATATATATATAGACACACGCACACACTATCCTTACTGCCTGAAAAAAATCAGCTAATACAGAAGATAGAAAAGTTGAGGTGAGGAAAAGTGAAGAGATCACCGAGTTTATTTCCGCGGCCAATGCAGTTTGCAAGACAAGCAGCATACTCCAAACAGTGTGAATATATTCATAGTTTTTTCACATATCAGGTATACGTGTGTGTATATATATATGTGTGGTACACCCAGAGTGGATACGCACTAGCTTCAAAACCTGAAAAAAATCAGCCAATACAGAAGATAGAAAAGTTGAGAGGAGTAGACCACCCTTTCCAACAACATAAATAGGACAGATAAAATGCCCCTTGACTGGCCTCCTCAATGAACTCATACAAGAAAGCTTTTGTCAAACGCGTCACAGCAGGGATCTCAATCTCATTGTCACTGCAGAACTTCTTCAGCCCCTCGAGTTTCGTTTGCCCCAAGGTTTCTGTAACCAATTTCTCAGTTGCTATCTGGAACTCTTTGGCCACCGCCAGGGCATGAGCAGCTCCTGCGTAGCCCTTGTGCTCGAACTTGCGTTGCAGCTGTTTCTGCATGGTGGACTTGCACGTGGCAAACCCCTTGTGTTCGAGTAGCTTGCAAAACTCAAAGTGCTGAGTAGAAGCTGAAGCAGGCGCAGAACTTGATGAACCAGGCTTGGATGTGGCAGGCACACTTGTAGAGGAGGTAGAGGTTTTCCCCGATGCGCCCTTCTGATGCTGGCACGTTTTTGCCCTCTTTGCAGCGCAAGCAGTCGCAACTTCCTCCACCCTACGTTTCTGTGCTGCAGCATGTCGTGAGTGAGCGTTAGCCCTCTTCTCCTCGGCTTCCTCCGCTATGGCTTTGTCGATGATCCCGCGATTGTAGTTGGCACGGCTTTGTGCATCCCGCAAAACTGACCAAGCTGCGTTCAAGGCTTGGCTAGCAGAAGTAGCGTCCTTTTCATTTTCCTTGCTGTAGGTGGTGCAAGGTACAAAACTGCAGGGAACCAACATGGAAGTCAGAAAGGCCAATATATAGCTGCGATATACAGAAAGAACAAATAATATTATATATATATATATATATAGTATTGTATAGTGGCGGCCACTATATATATATAGATAGATAGATAGATAGATAGATAGCAGCTATACGTATATGAACATATATATTACTTTTCTATCTTTTTGGGGACAACACTATATACACAAAACTTCTAGTAAGCCAAGTGGGGTTGGCGCCTTGCTGTTTCTTTCCAGGCTAAATAATTTTGGTTCCTTGTTTTTGAAAAATTGTAAATGGTTACAACGCATAGAATGCAACCATGCGTCACCACCACATTTGTCGGGATGAATTTGCCTAACCAGAGACTTATGCAGTCCACGGATATACTCCATAGACGAATTTGTAGCCACCAGTAGGCGCCGAACCCTGTCAGCCGCACTTTTGGGAAGCGTATCAGGCGAAGCGGCTTCCAACCTTCAATTCTGTTTGGCAGGAAGACTCGCAAAAGAAGAATTTGCCATATATACCAGGGCGCCCCAAAAGATAGAAAAGTAATATCCTCGAACGTATTCACACAAGGAGAAAATAAAATCATTCGCGCTGATAGTCTATATACCTTGTTTGTCTTCGGTAGGTAGGTAACATCTGATTTTGGGACTGTATCTAGGACGTATTATATATCATATAATATGATATAGATATATTTAATTATACGATTCCACGAAGATATCTAAATATGATAAAACCCTGGATGTGCCCGGCATATGGTGCGCACATATATGAGGGTGCTGGTGTGCTGTATTTGGCCAAGAAACAGCGCATAGTGATCCGAACCCAAGGACACATGCTGCAGGATGTTACTAATCTTCTGGGCCGCTGTTGCCATGATGCTCTCCCTTTTCAAGATGGCAGGATCTCGAAAGTCAAAGAGACATACTGTTGACATACTTGTGCTCTCTCTCTCTCTCTCTCCGGGGGATCTTTCCTTCATAACCCTTTATAGCTGCGATATTTACACTTGTTGAAAGATGCTTTGTTCCGGGGCTTCTTGCGCCCGTACATCTCCCTCTACGCTGTAAATATTGATATTGAGAAATCTTTGCATACGCAAAGATGGTGGTATATACTTTCCCCCTGAGATCTGGTGAATCAAGCAAAATGCTTGGCAAGCGGCGATGTTCGATTGCGGCGATGTTTTAAACGCAATACCGAATCAAAATGATCCCGCCAAAAAAGACAATACCATGGCAATAAAATAGATGAACAAAATATAACAAAACACGTGTATTGGGATAAAGAACGAAACACCACGAGAAATGGTTTGTTCATACAAGAAAACGTGAAATGGGCGGTACAGTGTTGATGTTTCATCATATGAATCCAAAGTGGGAGACTGTTAGGGCAACAAAACCCTGATAAAACCATTGAGATACAGAAGATAGAAAAGTTCCATATAGTGGCACCAACACAAAATAACTGGGTAATTAGGTGGTACATGGTGGTACAGTGTTGTTTTTCCTCTAAAGAATCTGAACAAGGAGAATGTTAGGAGAACAAAAATCTTGCTTACACCATGGAGATATAGAAGATAGAAAAGTTAGACATCCTGGCATCAGCACAAAACGGGAGGGGAAATAGGTTGTGCACTGTTGATTGTTCATCAAATGAGTCCTGTGATTGAGTGGCCGATGTAATGTTTGGAGGAGTCAATTTTTCTTTTTACAAACCTGTACTTAAAAGAGCTCAAAAATAGATTTTTTAATCCAAATCTGTCCGGATGCCTTTTGGGGCCTGTATGTATATCCACACAAGGAAAGGTGAAATGGGCGGTACAGTGTTGATTTTGCACCATATGAATCTAAAGTGGGAGACTGGCAGGACAATAAAATCCTGATAAAACCATTGAGATACAGACGGCAGACAATTTCCATATAGTGGCACCAACACAAAATAACATGGTAATTAGGTGGTACATGATGGTACAGGGTTATTTTTCCTCTAAAGAATCTGAACAGGGAGAATGTTAGGAGAACAAAATCTTGCTTACACCATGGAGATATAGAAGATAGAAAAGTTAGACATCCTGGCATCAGCACAAAACGGGAGGGGAAATAGGTTGTGCACTGTTGATTGTTCATCAAATGAGTCCTGTGATTGAGTGGCCGATGTAATGTTTGGAGGAGTCAATTTTTCCTTTTACAAACCTGTACTTAAAAGAGCTCAAAAATAGATTTTTTAATCCAAATCTGTCCGGATGCCTTTTGGGGCCTGTATGTATATCCACACAAGACAAGGTGAAATGGGCGGTACAGTGTTGATGTTTCATCATATGAATCCAAAGTGGGAGACTGTTAGGGCAACAAAACCCTGATAAAACCATTGAGATACAGAAGATAGAAAAGTTCCATATAGTGGCACCAACACAAAATAACTGGGTAATTAGGTGGTACATGGTGGTACAGTGTTGTTTTTCCTCTAAAGAATCTGAACAGGGAGAATGTTAGGAGAACAAAAATCTTGCTTACACCATGGAGATATAGAAGATAGAAAAGTTAGACATCCTGGCATCAGCACAAAACGGGAGGGGAAATAGGTTCATCAAATGAGTCCTGTGATTGAGTGGCCGATGTAATGTTTGGAGGAGTCAATGTTTCCTTTTATAAACCTGTACTTAAAAGAGCTCAAAAATATTTTTTTAAATCCAAATCTGTCCAGATGCCTTTTGGGGCCTGTATGTATATCCACACAAGGAAAGGTGAAATGGGCGGTACAGTGTTGATTTTGCACCATATGAATCTAAAGTGGGAGACTGGCAGGACAATAAAATCCTGATAAAGCCATTGAGATACAGAAGGCGGACAATTTCCATATGGTGGCACCAACACAAAACAACATGGTAATTAGGTGGTACATGATGGTACAGGGCTGTTTTTTCTTTAAAGAATCTGAACAAGGAGAATGTTAGGAGAACAAAAATCTTGCTTACACCATGGAGATATAGAAGATAGAAAAGTTAGACATCCTGGCATCAGCACAAAACGGGAGGGGAAATAGGTTGTGCACTGTTGATTGTTCATCAAATGAGTCCTGTGATTGAGTGGCCGATGTAATGTTTGGAGGAGTCAATTTTTCCTTTTACAAACCTGTACTTAAAAGAGCTCAAAAATAGATTTTTTAATCCAAATCTGTCCGGATGCCTTTTGGGGCCTGTATGTATATCCACACAAGACAAGGTGAAATGGGCAGTACAGTGTTGATGTTTCATCATATGAATCCAAAGTGGGAGACTGTTAGGGCAACAAAACCCTGATAAAACCATTGAGATACAGAAGATAGAAAAGTTCCATATAGTGGCACCAACACAAAATAACTGGGTAATTAGGTGGTACATGGTGGTACAGTGTTGTTTTTCCTCTAAAGAATCTGAACAGGGAGAATGTTAGGAGAACAAAAATCTTGCTTACACCATGGAGATATAGAAGATAGAAAAGTTAGACATCCTGGCATCAGCACAAAATGGGAGGGGAAATAGGTTGTGCATTGTTGATTGTTCATCAAATGAGTCCTGTGATTGAGTGGCCCGTGTAATGTTTGGAGGAGTCAATTTTTCCTTTTACAAACCTGTACTTAAAAGAGCTCAAAAATAGATTGTTTAATCCAAATCTGTCCAGATGCCTTTTGGGGCCTGTATGTATATCCACACAAGGAAAGGTGAAATGGGCGGTACAGTGTTGATTTTGCACCATATGAATCTAAAGTGGGAGACTGGCAGGACAATAAAATCCTGATAAAACCATTGAGATACAGAAGATAGAAAAGTTCCATATAGTGGCACCAACACAAAACAACAGGGTAAGTAGGCGTAAACACAAGGGAAAATCGGTGGTACAAGGTAAATATCGTTGTCCAGCCCTCCCGTTTCCAGGGGTTTAGTATTCGTTATGTATTCGGAGGCTGTGATCATCCAAAAAAAACAAAAAATGTCCATATTCAGCCCTCCCGTTTCCAGGGGTTTAGTATTCGTTATGTATTCGGGGGCTGTGATCATCCAAAAAAAAATACAAAACATGTCCATATTCAGCCCTCCCGTTTCCAGGGGTTTAGTATTCGTTATGTATTCGGGGGATGGTTTTTTTAAGTGCGTTCGAAGATGATTGAAGGAAATGTTCATTTTTCCCCAGTTTTCTTCATTTTTGCTGGCCCTCCCGTTTCCAGGATCTGAGTTCCTGGAAAAACTTTTCTATCTTTTCCGGGGCTACTATATACATATATATATATACATATATACAGTGTATATATATATATATATATATATGCTGTATACGTACTATGGTTTCATAGGGGTAGGTAAATTATGTTAAATCATAGTAAATCATGGCAAATCGTGGGGTTTCAGCCGCTCCAGGAGCATGTTTTTTCTGGTGATTTCCAGCCTCTGCAAGCTTCGCGTATGTGGATGTGTATGTATGTGCCATGTAGTATTAAAGGATATGTATGGGTATACAAGGTCATCTAAATATGGGTTGTATTCTTATGTGATAAAGTGCGCTGCATGTGTTAATCTGAATGTTCGGAAGAACTTGTATATTGATATACGGAAAATCGATTTATCCTGTGGGTTCCAGTTCTACATTTATCATAACGAATATTATATACTGACGTGTGTGGCTTGGGTATTAGTGAATAATGCACTAAGTACAGGTACATACATATTATATATACAAAATATGACGAACTATATATAGTACCATGTTTATAATGTTCATAACATATATACATATATATATACATAGACACATACTAATTGTGTCTATATACATCACCAACACCTGTTATCAAAAGATTGGCCTCCATCATATACCCCAAAAATGACTTTCACAACATGATCTGTTTAATTCGTAAATCAAACTAGTTCCCATCGCGAAGCTTAGTTACTTTTGTCCCAGTCCAAGAAGATTTTGAAAGTTATGAAATCTTAATGCTATTAAATGGCCATTAAGTGAGTTTTCCCATTAAAAATGGTGATTTTCCATAGTTATGTTAGTTTACCAGAGGGTATGAAATGGTAAATCTATCTGTTCGAGAAATTATTGATCAGTCTTGATTTCCAAATATCCATTTACCCACCTTGTTTCTAGTACTCTTTTGTAGGGGAATTTTGGGGTACCCCGATTTCCTAGGAAACACTCCCACGTTTGCGAAACGTGAGGGTTGGTTTCTATACTCTTTTGTAGGGGAATTTTGGGGTACCCCGATTTCCAGGAAACACTCCCACGTTTGCGAAACGTGAGGGTTGGACTTGCAGTGTGAAAAAAAATCGCCCAGACATTGTCACACAGTATCAGCGACGGAAGAGCGGAGCTGAGTGCAGTTCTATCCCCCATCATAAATGTACCCTCTGGTGAACTAACATAGCAATGGAAAATCACCATTTTTAATGGGTTTTCATTATAAATGGCCATTTTCCATTGCTATGTTAGTTCACCAGAGGGTAAACATCGCTTTGAATGGGGCGTAGCGGCTACATGTTGGATGCGCTTCAGCAAGCTTAGAGTACTTCAGATTTGGAAAACCATCTGTTCTGATGTTCAATTTTTCCCCGCTGTGTTCGGTTTTTGGAAACTTTCTTTTTCAAAACACGCAAAAGACGGTGCCGATTTGGGGATATCCACTCACCATCCGTTTTGTTGATCAAAATGAAGGACATGGAGTATCAAAGGACAGGCATACTTTGTCATGGCCAATGGCATGTAACCATCCCGATATGGGGCTCTTTTGCAACACGGTTTTTTCATGTCATCGGTGTTTAACAACTCAGTGAATCAATGGATGGGTTTAAGAGAAAATCTGCAAAGATACCATGGATTTTCCTATGAAATATCCGGCTGTCCTGTAGATTTTCCCTTAAACCAATCCATTCAGTGAACTAACTATGGCTGTTGAATGCTATTGACTACATACCCGTTTCCCATGTGATGTTTGCCTGGGCAGTACATCAATCTGCCCAGTTCTTAACGAAAAAAACCACAGAAACTCTTGAACTCACTGCCCAACTTGCAGATAAAAAACCCTATACAGGGATTGGACTATCAAAATGTGGGTATATAATAGTGATTGGACTTTTACCCACATTTTGAGAGTCCAATCCCTGTATATACTATCTGGTTGATTTTTGATACACAAAACTGACTAGTTGGTGGTTGAAAAATCCCTCTGAAAAATGATGGAGTGAAAGTCAGTTGGGATGATGACATTCCCAACTGAATGGAATAATTTAGCAAAAATCTTCCAAACCACCATCCAGCTGAAAATAGCTGTTATCATACAGCCATTTAAGGGGATGATGTCCCCATATATAATGTCCATCCAGGGACGTCACGACCACCCTTAAATATCGGTGTTTTTTTTAGTTGGCTAAAAACGAATCCCCTTGAAAAATCCAGTAGTATAGTCCCTATCAAATTCAAAAAAATGCTGATAAATCCAGAAATTGGATTTCCCAATCGGTTCATGACTTAAAAACTGTTAAAAAAACACATAAGGGGGTCGTTGCTTCAAAACCCCAATTTATCGCCTACCATTCACCACTCGACCCGTTGCCCCATGACCCGCCGGTGTTGAATCCCCAAGTTTAACCGTAAACCCAGAGAATGAGGTAAAGCCAATAATAACCCATCCTAGTCAAAAGCCATACAAATATGGCAGTGTGTCAAAACCTTGTACCCCTGGTGAACATCAAAAGAGCTGGTAAATGGATGTTCATCCCACTAAAAATGGTATGTATAGGTATTGATCCATAGCCATATATTCATCATTCCAGTCATAGACCTATACCAATGAAGCCTCGCTAACTTGTTGTTGGCTCAAAAAATTGAGGCATAGTCGTCCCAATTTTTCATAGATCTTCCCATGAAAAAAAATCCTCTATAATGTTTGTAGATTTTTCTTCGGGATTTCCCAAGAAACCAGCAAGTTGGCCCTAGTGGCCATCTGGAAGGCATCCTTCTTCTGTTGTGACTGCCGTTGACGTGCTGCACGAGCTGCACGCTCCTGGCGTGCTGAGAAATGTTAAGCCCATAGTAATTCTGTTATGGTTAATGATATATGATATGTATATATATATGTATGTGTATTTATTTATGTTTTCATTTATGTATTCTGTATATAAATATTATATATATATATGTATTATATTATATATATATATTACATATCATATGTATATATATGTATGTTATATATATATATGTGTATTACATATATATATATAACATGGCTCACATCTTACTACCTCAATTCTTGGGGCATGACCTTTGAGAGTACCTTTGGATTTTAGATGTGTATGAGATTGTCTTGCTGATTCCGTGAAAAGTCGGCTTTCTTTGTTGATGACTATCCCCAAGTTCTTGCTGGCATCATCTATTTACCTAGGTCAATCTTGGTTGGGTAGTTTAATCCTTTAGTCTTTTGGTATCAATGGGATTATCTACTAACCAGCTAAGAATTTATTTTTTTGCATGGTATCTAAGATTAACCATGTCATATACTAGCTGGTTTGTTTCGAAATTTCCCAACTTGTTGCCCTGAAATGGAGGTTTCCGTTTTGTCATGGGCAACTACCCCCTTGCATCATCCAGTCGTCCTGGATGATCATGACGACTAGTACAACTAGTACAGCTTAAGCGATGGAGACGACTGGGGATCCCCCATGACTTACCCTCTGGTAATGTCACATAGCTATTGAAAATGGCCATTTATAGTGAGTTTTCCCATTAAAAATAGTGATTTTCCATAGCTATGTTAGTTTACCAGAGGGTACACATACACATGGGACGGCCTCGGGGGTCATCATTTGCAGCTCCAGAAGCTTGTTCTGCGCCTTCAAGATGTCCTGCATTCCAGGAGATGAATTTTAGAGCTGAAGTCATTTGACAGGTTCGTTGATTTAATGGGAATTCGAGGATTCCAAAATGGAGGTATTGTAATTTTTCATCTAATGCCATATTTTGAGGGTATATCCCCTTACATAGCCCTTACATGCGAATGGGTGGTATAAGCCATCAAAGTATGGGCAATGGGGTGGTTTATTGTTGCTTTACTAACATGATATTGGTACAGTCCCCGAACTCATCATCAACCAACCAGGCGTTTTTTTCAGCCACTTGGCCATAGGAAACTGTTAAATTGCCAAAGGGTCCATGCCCATCTCGGATATACCTGTGTATATATATATATAATTATATATATATATATACATATAGACGTGTAGATATCTATATGAAATTATATGAATATGGACAGTCAAATATGACACATATAAGTATATATGTATATATCATATGTATATATGTATATATATTTTTATTTATCTATTTATATATATATATACAGTCATCCTAAAGTAGATAGAATCTTTGGAATTTCAAAGAAAAAAACGGTCCGAAGATAGAATCCCAAAATGGCTCAAAAATCCAGGTCGATGATTGGAAAAAAAAAACGGTCCCTCTAGAATGATCACAAAAGCGGTCATTTAGCGTTTGATTTGGTTGTTTGGGCCTTTGGAATGACCACAAAAATGTTATTATGCTGGTGTATTAGGTTCTGGCATGCGAATTTCAGCCCGCCAAAATCTTCCAAATAAATAAAATATCCCCACCCCAAAATTTGTACTGTTGCTGTTGGTTCCCAGAAATATAGATCCTTTGGCAATGGTATTTTTGGCTCCGAGGATGCCCAAATAGTCAAGCCCAATAGAGGAATGGGTATGGGCAAAATTATCACCACCCAAAATTGACAGTTGACAATTCAAAACGTGCAATTTTGTAATTGCATTGGGGCCCAAATTTGACCCATACCCACTCAGATTTGATCCATCCCCATATTCTTCCATATTCTATCTATGGTATCAACCACTGTGCTGGCCCTTCCATGCTGTATTCTGCTAACAATGGCAGGTTTCCAAGAACCAAAAAATGTGTTATAGGTCCTTTGGTAATGGTATTTTTGGTTCCCAGGATGCCCAAATAGTCAAAGCCAATAAAGGAATGGGTGTGGGTACAAATGATCACCCCTCCAAAATTGAGAACTGATAATTGAAGATGTGCAATTTGCAATTGAAATGGGGCCCAAATTTGACCCATACCCACTCAGCAGCCGTGTGCCCATCGCACCCCCTGGAGATTTTGAATTTGGACGTCCACTAGAACTATCAAAAGAGTGATTTTCTTAAAGGATGCTTGGAATTAAGCGTGTATTTGTGGTGCGCCCTGCCCCTTCCTCTACTTCTACCCACCCAAAGTTCATTCTTGGAGCTCTTTGAAAAGAAACTTTGAAAGGAAAATAGCATGAGAAAAGTTGCAACCCACGATCTTACCATCCAAAGTTCACAATTGCAGGTTTTTGAAAAGAAACAGCGAAAGGAAAATTGCGTGAGAAAAGAAGGAATCCACGATCTTACCATTCAAAGTTCAGTCTTGCAGGTTTTTGAATAGAAAACTGTGAAAGGAAAAGGAGAGGAGAAAAGTATAGAAAAGTAGGAATCCAAGATCGACCATCCAAAGTTCATTTTAGCTAGTGCTGTGCCAGGACAGCTGCGCAAAACTATAGATAGAATATCCTCTAGAACTAGGAAAAGAATAGACAAGAGTGATTTTCTTAGAGGATGCTTGGAATTAAGCGTCTGGTGCGCCCCGCACCTTCCTCCACATCTACCCACCCAAAGTTCAGTCTTGGAGCTGTTTGAAAAGAAACTTTGAAAGGAAAATGGTACTAGAAAAGTAGGAATCCAAGATCTTACCATCCGAAGTGGAAATTGCAGGTTTTTGAAAAGAAACAACGAAAGGAAAATGGGATGAGAAAAGAAGGAATCCACGATCTTACCATTCAAAGTTCAGTCTTGCAGGTTTTGGAATAGAAAACTGTGAAAGGAAAAGGAGAGGAGAAAAGTATAGAAAAGTAGGAATCCAAGATCGACCATCCAAAGTTCATGTTTGCTAGTGTTGTGCTAGGACCGGTGCGCAAAACTATAGAAAGAATATCTTCTAGAACTAGGAAAAGAGTGATTTTCTTAGAGGATGCTTGGAATTAAGCATGAATTTATGGTGCACCCTGCCCCTTCCTCCACATCTACCCACCCAAAGTTCATTCTTGGAGCTGTTTGAAAGGAAACGTTAAAAGGAAAATGGCAGTAGAAAAGTAGGAATCCAAGATCGAGCATCTATCTAAAGTTCATTTTTGCTAGTGCTGTGCCAGGACAGCTTCGAAAAGCATAGATAGAATATCCTCTAGAACCATGAAAAGACTGAACTTTTCAATGATGCTTGGAATTATGCATGTATTTGTGGTGCACCCTGCCCCTTCCTCCACATCTACCCACCCAAAGTTCATTCTTGGAGCTGTTTGAAAGGAAACGTTAAAAGGAAATGGCATGAGAAAAGTAGGAATCCAAGATCTTACCATCCGAAGTGGAAATTGCAGGTTTTTGAAAAGAAACAACGAAAGGAAAATGGGATGAGAAAAGAAGGAATCCACGATCTTACCATTCAAAGTTCAGTCTTGCAGGTTTTGGAATAGAAAACTGTGAAAGGAAAAGGAGAGGAGAAAAGTATAGAAAAGTAGGAATCCAAGATCGACCATCCAAAGTTCATTTTTGCTAGTGCTGTGCTAGGACCGGTGCGCAAAACTATAGATAGAATATCCTCTAGAACTAGGAAAAGAATAGACAAGAGTGATTTTCTTAGAGGATGCTTGGAATTAAGCGTCTGGTGCACCCTGCCCCTTCCTCCACATCTACCTACCCAAAGTTCAGTCTTGGAGCTGTTTGAAAAGAAACTTTGAAAGGAAAATGGCACTAGAAAAGTAGGAATCCAAGATCTTACCATCCGAAGTGGAAATTGCAGGTTTTTGAAAAGAAACAACGAAAGGAAAGTGGCAGGAGAAAAGTTGGAATCCACGATCTTACCATCCAAAGTTCATAATTGCAGGTTATTGAATGGAAATCTGTGAAGGGAAAAGGAAATGAGCAAAGTAGGAGTCCTCGATCTTACCATTCAAAGTTTATTCTTGCAGCTGCTTGAAAAGGAAACTTGGAAAGAACAAATTGAAATTAGAAGGGTTTGAAAAGGAAAGGAAAAGAATCACACATTTTGAGCATCCTGGAGTAGATTTTGGAATATTCTATCTAGGGTTACAACACCGGAATCCCTCTAGGATGCTGAATTCAAGAAATATTTTTTTTACGATTTTAATATGGTTTTGGATACGATTTGACGATATGAATTTGATATGCTTTGAATTTGGGGTTATGATTTCGATATGATTCTGATATGGTTTTGATACGATTTTGATACGATTTTGATACGATTTTGATATGATTTTGATACGGTTTTGATATGGTTCCAGCGAGTTGGCTTCAAAAAAAGAAACAGAAACAGCGCAGGGATAGGTTTTTGGTCGATGTTTTGAGGATTTTTATGGTTTTGGTATGATTTTGATATGGTTTTGATGCGATTTTGATACGATTTTGATACGCTTTTGATACGATTTTGATACGGTTTTGGTATGATTTTGATCCGGTTTTTATATGGTTCCAGTGAGTTGGCTTCAAAAAAAGAAACAGAAACAGCCCAGGGACATGTTTTTGGTCGAATTTTCAATGGTTTTTAGGGTTTTGGTATGATTTTGATATGCTTTTGATACGATTTTGATACGATTTTGATACGATTTTGATATGATTTTGATATGGTTCCAGTGAGTTGGCTTCAAAAAAAGAAACAGAAACAGCCCAGGGACAGGTTTTTGGTCAATTTGTCGAAGGTTTTTGTGGTTTTGATATGATTTTGATACGATTTTGATACGCTTTTGATACGATTTTGATACGGTTTTGATACGATTTTGATATGGTTTTGATACGATTTTGCAATATTTTGGATATTGTTCCGATGGGTTGGCTTCAAATCACAAGTTTGACCCACATCAAGAATCATAACTGAAACCATATCAAAATCATAATTGAAACCATATCAAAATCATAACAGCAAAACCAAGCCATAAACAAATCATAACAACAAATCATATCTGAAACGTGTCAAAATCATAAAAAAAATATTTTCAAAAACCTTCATCCTAGAGACTTCAGATGTGGTAAATCTAGGGGGTCCGGAGATATAGTTTAGTATTGGGTCAAAAAGCCTGGATTTTGTCAAAATAACCCCCCCTACGAAACTGGATTCTATCTACTCCAGGATGACATATATACATATAATATATATATATATATACATATCATATACATATATATATACATATATATGTACATACAATATCATAATCTATCTAAATCACCATTTTTCTTGGTTAAGTCACCATTTTTCCTATATTTTTCGATATGTTCCTTAACAAAGAAGACCCCAACCACCCGTGGCTCTCTGCAGCGGTACCCGGTACCTCGTCATCCACATCTGCTGCTTGCGCCTGCTGGATGGCTTGTTCCAGTAGATCCTCATCCGCCTGGGCTTAGGTCCACGGTTAGATGGTCATCTTAGATATGAAAATGACTTCGATGGATCCATATAGTTTTAGTTAGAAAGATTATGATAATTCTTCAATAGATATTACTATGATATTACCAAGTCTTGTTTTCGTTTCAATAAATCTATTGTTGGTAGATATGTTCATAGATATTTTTTTGTTGCTTAGATACCCTCTGGCAATTTAACATAGCTATTGAAAATACCCCTACCAGAAATAGTTGATTTACCTATTCAAACTGGTGATGTTCTCTAGTTTTTTCTATGTTTACCAGGCCGGGTAACTTATTCTGTACCAAAGGCTCGCTACGCGTCGTACGCAGAATTTTTTTTTCGTTCCACAGAACCGAGATACGACAGTCAGACAGATCAACATTCCCTTGCGATGTTTACCAGAGGGAAAAGTGCGAAAATTATCCACGAACTACCGGTAAATCACCATTTTCAAGTTCGCAAAGTGTAACAATTTACCAGAGGATATTAACATATATTAACCATAAAAACATGATGAAAACCCCGAAAAAAAATATTCCTCACTGTTGGTTTAAGTTGGTCATTTAAACAAAAACGATCTGATTTCCGATGGAGGATCCATCCCACGGGCAGAAAAATGGTGGCTTTGTAACGGTTGAAGCGTAGTTTTTCACCCCAAGCTTTACACAAAAATTTTCAGCCACGATTCATGGGACGATCCATGTTTTTAAATGCTGGCGATCCTCCCAAAAAAAAAACTGATCGATGCTGGAGTTTCTTTGTGCCATCCTGTAGATGACTTCCTTGTTCTTTAGGCGGCAATATGTGGTTGATATCCATTCATCCCCTCAGTAAATCAATATAACGCTACTTTCGCTATGGCAGTTCCCATGGTTTCCCATGCAGAAAATTAGAATCTACAGTTTTGCTGGCTTTTCGGAACTCCTTTGCGCATTTAATGATTTACTAAATGGGGTCTACAAAAAATGGGATTATATAAGCTGGATAGATATAATGATATACTAAGCAAATGATTTTAAGTTTCACCTACAAAATAGGATGGAAATCTTCATCAAATCTCTGAGGATGCGTCAAATGATTCGAATGCTATGAGGCTACGCAGGGACTGAACATCCAGCTGGCTGCCAGCCATTTTGAAACGAAACAGATGGCTACCAGGGCTGTCATTCATACCCATCTGTACCAACGAGACTTGAGAATTTCATGCCTTCCCAGAATCATAAGGAAAAAGATCATGAAAAAAAGCTGGATTCACCAACAACCAGTCCCACTGTTCGAATTGAAAACAAGTTTTTCAAAGGATCCTCAAATTCCTCGTGTTACTCTCACTTGTAATTCGCCTTTCAAACAGATTCATCAAAAAACGTCGATTGGAAAATGAGTTCACCTGCCGCAAAAAATCATCCAAAAAATTCTGCTGAAACCGTTTTGTCATTTGGTCTCGCCAAATCATCCAGTCGTCAGACCATGACAAAACGTAGAACAAAACAACCATGCTGACGACTGGGGTAGCCTCCAATTCTTCAAATGCGATTTTTTCGATGGTGCTTAAAAAATCCAGTCGTCCGCCTTGTCAATAGCATGGTACAGGTGTTCAAAAGCAGCGCGCCTCAACGGAAATTCGGCAAAAATATGGCGATTTCGCATCAAGGATTTGAGCGGACATCATGGGAATATCGTGGGAATATCATGGGGATACATATAATTAATGGTCCTAGTACATTCCCATGGTCAATCCCATAATGGGAATACATGTCACTGTGGTCAAGCACAGGGGTTACATCAAATATGTCACTGTGGCACAATGTTCTTCGTTTTTCTCCAGCTTCTGGTGGCTGACCAACCCTCAGAAACTGATTTCGTGGTTTTCAGCCTAAAAAATGCTCGTCAATTATTGAATAATTGAGATCATCGAAAAAGGTCTAAAACCACCAACCAGATCTATCACGAGCTTCATTTGTTATATACCCATGAAACGGCGCTATATTTTTGCTGGCTGATATCCCCTTTTACTTTGCTGTTAGCATTATCCCATGAAATATACCTATATGCTATAACCATGATATACCCATGAAATATCCCAATATTGTCCCAAGTAATATCTCAGATTGGATATAATGGGATAATAGAAATGTATTACTCTCTGGTAAACTACCATAACTATGGAAAATCACCATTGTTCATGGGAAAATCCACTATAAATGACCATTTTCAATAGCTATGTTAAATCACCAGAGGGTAAATCCCATTAAATTACCAATAAATCCCATTAAACCACCATTAAACCACTATTATTATCATCATTATGCGTGAAAAAAACTTCATGAAATGGGTCAAATCGAAAAATCATCCCATTCCCATCCCCAGGGATTGCTTGAAAAACGAATCCCCATGTATTCAAAAATCTTCCCAAGAAATTCACCACTATTATATGAAATATTATAATAGTGGTAAACCAAATATACATTATAAGTAAATATCATTATAACTTGTAAATATCATTATAACAAGTAAACCAAAATCCCAATATTATATGACATCCCGATATCCCATTATAATTTGTCCCACTAATTCACAGTATTATCCCAAGTAATATCTGATATCTCAGATGGGATATAATGTGAGAACACCACTATATTGTCATGATTACCCTCCAGTAAATTAACAGTTCGACACTGCCATTTTTGGGGCTTGGAAGACGAGTTTCCACTATAAATTGCTCATTTTCGGGTTCTATGTGAATTTACCAGACCAATAAAAATCATTTACCAATAACAATAATAGCCTCTGGTAAACTAACATAGCTATGGAAAATCACCATTTTTAATGGGTAAATCCACTATAAATGGCCATTTTCAATAGCTATGTTAGTTTACCAGAGGGTAGCCCAATTTATATTAAGGACGAAGTTCATATTGAAATGGCTATCCGATGGGATCAGCTGCGCCTCTCCCGGAGTTGCTTCCGGTCCAACTCGCGCCGCGCTTCGTCCAGTACCGCCTTGCATCGCCGTGTTTTTTGATAATGTGTGGTGCTATTGAGGCTACCTTAAAATGGGAAGATCAGCAAGAAAAATACATCAACATCTAATAATTCACTAATAATAATTACTACTACTACGACGACGACAACTACTACTACCACTACCACTACCACTACTACTACTACTACTACTACTACTACTACTAGCACTAGCAGTAGCAGTAGCAGTAGCAGTAGCAGTAGCAGTAGCAGTAGCAGTAGTAGTAGTAATTCACTAATATTGATAGTTCTTGTTATGGTTAATTCACTAATCTACTAATCTGAATTAAGGCTATTGTGGGATGATTTTCCCTTATCGAAAAACAAGTCGAAGTGAGGCCAATCAACTTTATCCAGATCAAAATGGGAAATCCCCCATTGCATCCGTATCAAAATCTAAAAATCCTCTAGTAATCAAACACATGCTTGGAATATGGCGCATTTCTGGATGATTTACGTTTTGTCATATTTTCAAATGATATTGTTCCATAGCTATGTTCAATTCCCAGGGGGTGCGTGTTATGCTCCAATTTTGTGGGATTAAATGGTGGATTTCCCCTAGTAGAATCCCATTTGATTCGCCACACAAATGATTGGAATGAACAATGCTCCGTTCCCCTCCATATGTCCCCTGAACCAGTTGGTTCACCCAGATATTTGCTGGTAGTAATGCCCGCTCAACCCACTAATACATGTTTTAATTACTTTTAATTTAAACCCTTTCTGAAATAACACGTTTAAAAGAAAAACATCTTCATCCAAATACATCTCGGATGGATGAATGTAGACCCTGTCAACTGGTCTGGGCAAATTATATATATATATATATTACTTCTCAAATCAGAAATCTGAGCGAATTCGGGCTGCCCTCCCCATTACTACCAATAATTACCTATCATCAATATCAATTTCTTCAGCATTACCATGCCCATTTCATCCACATCAGACATCTAAGTCCAACACTTTCAGGATGATCTCCCGAAAAAAAGTAAAAAACATCAACCAAATATGTTGGGGATGATTCAAAAAAAAAAATGGAAACCTCCCCGGAAGATCCCCGAATAGATCGCCAACGGAAATTCTTATTTCAAACCATCTAAGCCATGAAATGGGGATGAGTTCCCATCTCCAGTATCAGTATCAATCATACTGCTTGGTGTCCCCGTTCACCGATTCCAGTATCAATCCGCAATATCTTGGTTAGAAATGGTCGAATCCATCAGCAGGTCATCAGGCAACAAGGCTAAAGAGCACGGCTTTTTCGAAAGGCACCATGTTAACCATGCCATATCAAAGCATACTAAGTACCATGGTTAGCCATACATATCATATGGTAGCTTATTTTCCATATTGAAATAAGACCATAGATAAATAACAGGTTATCATTCAATTGGGAATTAGCTGTAGATATTATAGTATTTTTATTGTCCGTAAACCGTATTAACATTATAATATATATATATGTATTATAGCTATATAGATATGGTAAAATCATGGTATATGAATATTCTACATTAACTACCACACTACTACCCTCTTCTGATTTTTCTCACACAACTCGGATGTTTTTCGAAAGCCACCAAAACTCAAGGATCATTTTGAGAGAGAAACCATAGGTTGTCCTCCACATCTTTTTGGATCAGTTGACCCTAGGGCTGTGGCGTAACAATGGGAAAATCATGGAAAATCATCCTCCGTTTAGATGAGTGTCCCAGCGATTAGATAGCCTAAAAATGTAGCAATGGATTTCCCAGTTGGTTGTACCAATGTGTCCCGGCATGGCGAATGTCATAACAATGTTTATTAATTAACTAGTTTATTGGTCTCACGAAATTATACCAATAAACCAAGGTATAACGTTATAGCCATAGCGGTGAAGACTTTCATTCATGGCTCAATTGGATCAAACATGGCTTGCTGGAAAATCCGAACCATTTAGATGATTTTCGCAACTGAGTCCCCATTTCCAGCAGCGGAAAAAAAGAAACAACAAGAATTATAAGCTAAATAACCATATGAAATTCATGAAACCATATTAAAAAATGATTAGTTACCACATTCAACTACCAAAAAATTAACAATTTTCTAATGTGCTAGTTGAATTATATATTACCAAATAACCATATTAAACCACTCTCAAACCAATCCTCGCCTCAACACTGGCGATGGCGGATCGCAGTTCCTCAACAGAGGCCTTGCCACTGGTCATGACCTCAGCGCCGTCAGCTTCGCTTCTTCGTGTGACAAATGGCAGTGTGTCAAAACCCTTGTACCCCTGTAGTTCACATCAAAATAGCTGGGATAATGGATGGTCATCCCCCATCCAAAATGGTATTAATAGGTATTGATCCATACCGAAAACACAACAGGCTGATGACATGATAAACTATGATCAATGGGAATTCCAGGATCCTAAAATGGAGCTTCCTACCATATATAAGGCCTAAAATTCAGGCCTATGAACAATGGGAATATCCCCACAAAATATGGCCAAACATATGGTACAGTACCTCCATTTTAGGATCCTGAAATTCCCATTGATATGATAAACTGTTTGAACAGTTGGCTGATGACATCTCAATTTCAGAAAAATCTGAAAAGGGTGTGTTGACTCTGAATTTGACATCCAGTCACCAGTCACAGTTGTGTTTTTAGAAACGCATCAGTGGTCCTGATCTAAGTCATGAAGGATCCTCCTCTGCCATGGCGTTTGTCTACCGAATCGCACGTTCTTGGCACGGCTTTGGTGATGCTTGCCGCGAGACGGGCTGTACAGTGCGGCGTGCTGTCGGTGCTGTCGGATCGGTTCTGTCGGTGGTGCCCCAGGTATCGCGAAGTTGGCCACAGTTGCCTCCAATAACTATCTGGTTTATGGATGTTTATGGTATATCTGTAACAATATCGAACTGTTGTGTTTTTTGATAACCAACAAACCTAAATTTTTAGGGCACCACCCCCCATATTTTTGTTGGTGGCTCAGCTATAAAATGGCCAGTCCCTATGTGAGAGAGCTGGGCTGAGCAGCATGCCAAGTGGTCATGCCAAAATTTCCGGAAAATGTCCTGTAAAGGCCTGTCCCAGGGGTTGTAGAGACAATTGGTGAACTAAACCACTATAAGTTTCAATCTTATCAAAGTCCATGAAAATTACCTGAATCATAAATCGCCACATCGAAAAAAAATATATCAAAATCATCCACCAATCTATCACTATCATCATTGTGGTGGATAACCATTAAAGTAATGCCCATCAAAATCACCACATGTTGATGTTGATAAAACTCCGCAACGGAGTGAGATCGGATCATCTTGGAAGATCTCTATGAAACCAAAAAAAATGCGGCTCATCGTCATTGCATCTATGAAACCTGTAACAATATCTATTGATATCATTGGATCATTTCAAAACCTATGGAAACCTTCAAGTTAGAAACCCTTTCAAAATCATCGATCTATTCAAAAACATCAAGAAAACCTATGGAAATCCTAGGATCAATCCATAAGAACCTATGGAAATCCTATGGAAATCCTATGGAAATCCCATGGTGCTGGGCCGCTTCCAGGGCACTCCGCGGCCCCTCCGTTCTCAGTTCCACCGTGCCGCGCCGTGGCACCTCGCAGCCCTTGGGCAGCGCCAGGCGCTGCTCCAGCGCTGCGGCAGCGCGGAGCAACAAAGCATCCGCACCGTAGGGGGCCACCAGCTGCAAAGCCACCGGGCGGCCATCCTTCAGATGGATACTCTTTAGAGATATTTCTATCTATCTATCTATCTTTCTATCTATCTATCTATCTATATATATATACCCATAATAAATAAATAAATAAATAAATATATATATATGGGGGGTACCCCTTTATCGCTGTTTATTTCATAAAAACGTGCATCTAGAAATGGATGATTTAGGGCTAAGCCTAAAAATTCGAGGAATGTTGACCTCAGGCAACGAAATGTTCGGAATCTATGGTGATTTCAGCATTTTCCAGTGGCAAAAGTTAAGAATTACATGGAGCAAACATGTGGATTTTACGGTGGAAAAAGATGGGATTTATTTCGGGCATCAGTTGATTCAGTTGAGCCATCAGCCACTTTAGAAACGGGGCGTCCTCCAGAATTCCACAGGGTAGCGCTAAGGCCGGGCACAAAAGCACAGAGACAGTGGCTGTAGGAAGCAGCTGACCGAGATAATTGGGGAAGCTCTGATCGTTGAGCTTCGAAGGGTATCGAACTTCAGCATCAAACGCTGCATCGATGGTAGCAGGTACACATAGGATATCCAGCAATTTGAACATCTCCAACACCTGCGACTGGAGCTGCTTCAGGTCACCACGAGCTATCTCTGCCTGCCTGTGGCTGTCGGGTCTTTGACCCTGGAGGATGTTCCATTGGAGTTCCGGCTTCACTAAGGCGCGCGTGGCAGGATCCAGAAGCTCGCCGTACTTCTCAGCAAGTTGTTCTGCGCGCAAGGCCTTAAAGGTCTGCTGGGCCAGCGGGAAATCTACCAGGTCGTCACCGACTACAAGAGGCTCCTGGTGGTTGTTCAAGAGCCAGGCAGCCTTGCGGCACAAGGCCTCCAGCTCCGCAGAATAGTGGCAGCCCACAGTGGAAAAGCCCACTTTGAGGCCTAAACCTTCGATGCCCTGAGATGCACCCAGAATGGCAGCAGCTTCAAAAGTCTCTTCACTGGAACTGTGAGGTTCCAAGTGCTCCCAGCCCACATTGGATTCCATTGCATCCAAGAAGAGCGCAACATCTCGGACGCTCCTTGCCATGGGTCCACTGATCGAATGCAGCCCCAGCAACGGGCCAAAGCCATTTGCAGGCGTACGCCCTGGAGACACCCGAAAACCCACAACCCCGCAGTGGGCTGCAGGTTGCCGCACTGATCCTCCCAGGTCGGTACCCGTGGCCAACCAACACTGGTAACTGGCCAAGGCGGCTGCAGATCCACCACTGCTGCCACCAGATGTCGTACGGAGATCCCATGGCGAAACCGTGGTGGGAAAGATGGAATTGAAGCTTTGGGAGCCTCCAGCAGGTGTCGTTTTAAAAAATACCATTCTCCAGGTTTTTTCAAAAAAAGTCATGGTCTCAGATATGTGATTTCGTCCCCAAGAAAAGCATGGTTTTCATAGCTGCACAAAAAGCTGCACAGAACTGAAAGCTATCCCAACCCGCGCACGGAACTCCAACCTAACTATAATACTTATCACCACAAACCCAAGTTCCTCTATGAATATCTGGTTGGTGGCTTCAACCCCTCTGAAAAATATGCTCGTCAGTTGGGATGATGACATTCCCAATATATAGAAAAATGAAAATTTCATGTTCCAAACCACAAACCAGATATGTCATTGAAAAAACCGTGGGTTTGCATGGGTCATTAAATGTCCCCATTGAACATCACCCAACCATTAGGTATATGGTCTTTTTCATGGCTACTATAAGGTGATCTATAATGGCTACTTTTTCAGGTGATGTCCTTTATATTCCCAAAATGGGACAGGCAAACCAACCCCTGGTTTCTATCCCAAACCTGCACAGAACTCGGGCACATTGGTCTTCCCCACAATGATGGCTCCGTTCGCCTCAAGCTGCTCCACCAAAGCTGCGCTCGCGTCACTGACGCGCTCGGCGTAGAGCAAGGAGCCTTCGGTGAATCGGACGCCAGCGACAGCATGGGTGTCCTGAAGCGAGGGCATGCTGGGATTTATGACATCATAGATGGCTATATTAATGTGGTTGAATATGATTTATATGGTTTAATACACTTAACTCTCGCAATTCACTTTGGCAAAGTGTAAAACAGCTGGTTTTTTGGGCTCTATATTCCTACATGAATTGGGAAGCAACATGACTTCAGCAACCTCAAAATAGGCAACAAAATGGTGATACACTATGGTTGGGATGTCCTCAAAAGTAAGCACCACATTGGTGAATAAGCTTAGTCAATGAAATTATTTGAAGCCCAAAGTTGGGAGTGAAGCCAGCAATGGGGATGTGAATCTCATCCCCGATTCATATTAGCTAGACCCTGGTTCTATGGACCCTTATCAAACCAGGGTGTCGGGGAAAAATTCAGTATATAAACTATTCGGAGGTTTCCCAAATGGAGTGCCTCTAAATCATCCGTGTTATTTTCGGATTGTCCATGAAATAAACCATCCATTAAATATAATATATGGGGGTTTCCATAAATGGTGGTACCGCCAATGATAGTTTATAATGGAAAATCCTATTGAAATGGATGATTTGGGAGTCCCCCCATTTATTGAAACTCCCCTTCTGGTGTCAATTCCTGGTTTCATCATTTTCATCGTCGCCCATATTTTCCGTCTGCCTTCGAGCCATGAAAGTTATGCCCCCGGAGTTTTCCCATCTCATGAAATTGGCTGAAAAGTTGGCTGAAAACGGTTTTCCTACTATTGATTATCATAATTCCCAACAAATTAGCTGGTATAACCAATATATTATATATGTATATATTAACCAATCAACCACGGTATCTTTTAATGGCTTAGGTGGCGGGATCAGGAGTAAATGACCCCCCCAACAACCATAATTTGGAGATCAGTTCTATCGTCATCATATCCACATGCTGGTTGGTTTTTGTTTGGGGATATGATGAGGATGCAACTATTTTTTTAGTATGGATACATTAAGATATTAAGTATTTATATCTGTGTGCACATTGAGGATATCCATTTAGTATATATCCATTATAATATATATATATATTATATTATATATATATGTGTGAGGATGCACACATATATCTGTGTATATATATATATCGGCTTGCCCCGGGCCCAAAAAAACAGATTCAACTCAGGAGTCCTTTCCATGGCCGGAAAATCCACCAGGAGTACATCATTTATACCCTCTGATAATGACTAGCAGTTTGCTATTGAAAATGGCCCAGTCGAAATAGTGGTCATTTTCCCATAAAAAATGGTGGATCTTTCCATAGCTATGTGACAGTTTACCAGAGGGTAGATGATATTCTATGTTTATAGTATTTATAGTTTTTTTTATGTTGTTTTTTCCCCATTACAAATTCCATACTTTGCATTCACTTCGGGGATTTCGCCATGTTGAATTCCGATCGTCTTGTCCTTGATCAGAATCGGCAAGCCATGCAAAAATCCTCGGCTTTTCTCACCGCAGTTCCTCATGATTTCCCAGGCCTTCTCCCTCGCACGGTCAAAGCAGGTGATGGGACTGGCATGGACCAAGGCTTCAGTGGCAGAAATTCGTTGCTCCACGACATCAATGAGTTGCAGCGGGGACACGGAACCTGCTTTCAACATGGCGACGATCTCATGCGCCTGACCAGGGCAGTGCTGAAGTGGGATGACATCTTGCTGGATCTTACAACCCAAATGAACAAAAAAAACAAACAGACATCAAACAAACAGACATCAGCAACATCTTTTCACCAAGTCTGGAAAATCCTCTTCCAATCCACAAAAAAGAGTCACTCTTGCCGTTACTTTTAAGGCCTCAAGCAAGTGCAAACTCTCCATGGCGTCGTCTGAAAATTGGACACTGCTAATCGCTCAAAGGTATCTCGATCCAAAAGGCTACTCGGCAACTAAGCAGCAGTCTCCAGCAAGCGTTCCGAGGGTGAAGGAGATTGTTGGGATGAGTCGGCGCTTGCAGTGTGCTTGTCACGAATCAGAACGCCTTGAGGGCATAGCGTGTTGGCCATCGACCTGTTGCAAGAACTTTGCGTTCTATGAATCGGTGCACGAGTATGTGCAACGCTGGCGTCCGGAACGACTACTTTGCTGTCGATAAGCTGTGCTTCTCCGATTTCTATGTTGTATAGTGTACAATCAATTTTGGCGCTTTCGCTAGCCTCTTCATCGCCTTCCGTATGTACAGGTAAATTCCACGGGTTTTAATTCACCTAGCGACGACTTGTTGTCGTTCCACGCACATTTTTTTAGGACTGTCCCGGAATGGCACAGTTAGCAGGGCATGCTTACGCCTGTTAGTGTCTCGGTTTGTAGGGTACCCTTCGACCTTTGTGACGTTGAGTCTTAGTCACACTGGGATCGTGGCCTTGCCAAGAGGGTATACGAGGTGCCTCTGAACAGCTCCGCTGCTCCAGGTCGTCTACTTACCTTTACATTGACTAGTTTGCTTGCGAGTTTTTGGCTTGTCCCATGTAGCTCCTCCGCAAGTTCAAGATATCTCGATCCAAAAGGCTTGGGTCGATGTGACAGCCGGCGCTCACGGAAACAGGGTGAACTCGGAGTTGGATCGCAGCAGCCCAGTCACCCCAGACAGGAATGTCACTTGACGAGGGTATGGCTGAATCTAATTCACTAGCCTGGAAATATCTGAAATACATCAGGAGGAAGAAAGTTGTTTCATGTTTTTTCCCGTTTAGTGTCTTATGAACATCATCATCCTCAGCCGTGGATCAATTATCCTCATTTCGCGTGGCCTGCACGGATCCTATTTCAAGTCGGAATAAACTAAAATATTCTAAAGCGAACCGGCTGATCCGCAATCCCCAAAATTGTGATTTATATGCAACCTATCAGGAGAAGGGGAGAGGGTTGCAGCAGCTAGTCAAGAGGGAAAACTTTTGTCCTGGTGTTCTAAAGTGATTTGGGGATGATTCCCCAACCACCAAACGTTTTGTCACAGTGAGGTCATTGCAATTCATCCAAGCCTAAAATTCATCCACAGTGTCAGGCGCAGGTCTGTAAGACCCGATTCCCGGAGCCGAGGAATTGTCAGTCGTCATACGGAAGCCAAATGATTGTTTTATTTTCTGTAGTGCACCGCGTTTTTTTTCCGAGAAAAGACGTGAAATGAAAGTAAGAAGTATGATATGTAATGATAACAAAAACTGAGACAATAAAGTAATGATCACAATGGTAATAATGGCATTTAATGATAATAACGTAATTATACTGATGTTCCGCGGGATATGTAAAGAAAAACCTATGCTGATCCATGCTACCCTAACAACAAAGATCTCTTCCTTAATTAATCCAACACTTATCATAGTTCTGTCAACGATAACCGATACAAAATCAAGCCATAAATCGACATCGTAGCGTCGTAGTGCGCAAATTGCTGCTGCAATTCCCCATGTTCTTCCATCTCATTTGTTGATCGAAAACCGTTTCCAAAAAAAAAAGGTCGTTGCTGAAAGTCCCAAGAAATTAATCCAACAACAAGGGATAACAATCTTTCATGGCGATTTTTTTTCATAACCCCCAAAAAACATCCATTCACTAGTTCGTGAAATATGCTCCCATGAATCATAGTTCACCAAGTGAACTGTGCGTCAACTTAGGGTATACCCTCTGGTAAATGAACCTGTTGACCCCAAAAATCCGCCAATTTTTGGTGGTCTCATCTAATCTGAAGCAAGCCCCTGCCAGGCTGCCAGGGTCAAACTGTTAATCACTGGAGGGTAACTCCCATAATTCTAATCCATCTAGATATGGGATAGCCTCTGGTAATTTAACAGTTTGCGAACTTGCCGCCATGGCCCAGTCGAAAGTTCGTGGATTTACCCAGCTAGATTCTATGCTGATTTTAGACGTGATTTTCACCATCGTTTTTTGTGACAGTTTACCAGAGGGTAAGCCACTTACCCTCTGGTAAACTAACATAGCTATGGAAAGATCCACTATTTTTAATGGGTAAATCCACTATTTCTATGGCCATTTTCAATAGCTATGCCACAAATTACCAGAGGGTAATTAGGGGACTTAGCAACGAGATGTGAAGCTGCCACTGGGGATCCTAGGCTGACCGAAGTCGACTTTCGGAGCCTCCGCCCGAGGGGGATGCCTGGCCACAGTGAGGGAAGATGACCGTTTTGACCACGAAAAATTTGAATTTCATGGTGAACTATAGGGATGTTAATCATTATATATATATACATCTATCCATCCATCCATCCATCTATCCATCCATCCATCCATCTATCCATCCATCCATCCATCCATCTGTCTATCTATATATTTATTATTATTACACTTATCTATCTATATTTATATATACATATATATCATGGGGGAAACCAGTCTAGGCTGAGGTTTCGGTTTGGTTCTGGGTTCTAGAATTCGTGGGATCAAGTCCCACTTTAGTCATGGTGAGTTTTGATGAGAAAATCGATGATTTTCGTTGGATTGGTCTTGTTGGAAACAAAATTACCCTCTGGTAAACTAGACTAAGAGTTTGCGACATTGAAAATGGCCCAGTCGAAATAGTGAGTTTTCCGACACATGGTGATGTTCCATAGTTTGTTGATGTTTTTTGTATGTTTACCAGAGGGTAAACCGGAAATTATGGCGTTCACCCACGCAGCACTTGGGGTTTCCTGCAGATTTCATCTCGAAATCTGAAACTGGGACTGTGAATCAGTCATCCTTCTGCGGAGCGGCTGGACAAGGCTTGTTGGAAAAAGGGGGAACCAAAAGGACCCAGAGAAAGGCTGGTTGTTTCAATCTGTTACTTTCAGGTAAAAGGAAGGGCCGGTTTGGTGAACTATTTATTATGATCTACCTATTGGTTGTTGAATGGGGGAACCCGCTTTTAATCAACAAGTGGAAAAAGAACACCTGCAGGATCAGAATACACTTTTAGTATTGGCTCTCAACAATAAGCTTCACTGTCTACTGGCATGGTGGCTTGGGGGACAGCTCAATTTACCCTCTGGTATGTTAATGTAGCGCACTAGAAGGTCACCATCTTTAATAGGTAAAACATCATGAATCATCTTGGAATGGGTCATGTTCCATTGCCATGTTAAATCACCAGAGGGTATATCCATTTGTAGACTCTATGTTTCCCATTTGAATGGCAAGTTTGGATATACTGATGTACACAATTTTACAATCTGAATTCACAGTCTTGGTTACACATCCCCATGAAATGGTTGGTGTAATACTCCCCATGTTCCAAACCATACGTATGTCCATTGTATCCACTTGAAATATCAGCATAAAAAGTCCATGATATAATTTTAAAAAAATGCCATAGTTTTTGCTGCGGTCGCATTGAGGACATGCCTGCGGTCGCATTCCTAAAAGTGGTTTCTCCCGTCAACGGGTGAACTATGGTTGTGAAGCTTTTACGATTCGTGGTTGAACTAAGCATAGTGTCTCAGTGTAATTACCCTCTGGTAATGACTAACAGTTTGCTATTGAAAATGGCCCAGTCGAAATCGTTGATTTGCCCATCAAAAATGGTGGATCTTTCCATAGTTTTTTGTGACAGATAAAACCAGAGGGGAACCACAACAATTAACCACTTACTAAGTATAGATCTTTCAAGTATACCCTGGTGTTTCTACGTTCACATAAATCTGGAAAATCCACTATGTCTAGATGGTTTCCTATACGGAAACCATATGGCTTTTCCACATCTTTTTCTAACTATGTTTACCATAGGCTACAATGGTTTGACCATCAACCATTTGGGACATTCAGAAATGGATCGTGGGTGAAAAATCGTTGAAAACAACTCTGGTTTTAGCAGCACCAGAAAGTCGAAAAAATCGCTGGCCGCCTGTGACTGCTCCCAGTACTTATCCCTCTCTGCTCGCAGATCTGCGAGCTGCTGCGCGAATTTCTTGGGCGCCTGAAAATCGGATGTTAAAAAAATTAGGGAAGATGAAAATTCATGGTGAATCGTTACTAGCAATGGTTAGTATATCCAAAATCAATCTTATTCTATGAGATTTTAGTAGTGTTTATTAATGTGGGATTCACCCAACTCCCAACTCATCGCTAGTTCTGCAGGATTGCGCAATCCAGCAACTACCATTACCCAATAGCTACCCATCTCTTGAGAAGAATATTAGCAGCTATGAGTCAGTTTATTTGAGTACCTGGGGCTGCAGTTGAGGCTACTGTTCTGGATATAACTTTAGTGGACTGAAACCCTAGAAGTTGGGAATAGAACCCCATAGCTATGGTGAAATCTATCCACGGATAGCTGGAACTGCAGTTCCAAGTATGCTATGGCACAGCATGCTGAGATGCGGCTTTTCAATCTTCACCCCCACGCTTTTAAAACCCATGACTTTCTGTGATAGGAAGGGGGGCCCCATACACAATATCAGATATATCAATCTCCATCCATTGGAACATGATTTTTATCTCAGGTACAAATTACAAGTCATTACCGGTAAATTTCGATATTCGAATTCGTCCCGTCCCCCATCCCTTTTTCTGCATTTGGACAATACGATACTCCTAAATCTCATAGATCCGCGCATTTTCCCCTTATGGCCATAGGACTACAAGCCCAACCACTAGTAGGGTTACTGACAAGATTCTGACAAGTCCTATTTTCGTTCTAGTTACTAGATGTTACTAGTTCTCAATGTTTCTGGTTTCTTCAAAACCTCCATGGTTGTTTCAAACACTGCCAAACCATCTGTACATGAATGTATATGTATATGTACACAGAGTTGGTCGAAACAAAGATTCTTGGGACTTGGGACATTCTTGGGGTGCTCGGGTAAAAGATGAATTGAATCCATTGA